CTAGGCCTGGCAGCAGTTTAGGGTCGCCAGGTCCCCCCCTGGCCACCAACGGGGGAGGGGGGGTAAGGTTGCCAGGTCCAGGCTGGAAAACTCCTGGAGATTTGTGGGTGGAGCCTGGGGAGGACAGGGACCTCAGTGGGGTACAATGTCACAGAGTCCACCCTCCAAAGCATCCATTTTCTCCATGGGAAGTTATCTCTGTAGTCTGGAGATGAGCAGGAATTACAGGGGATCCCCAGGTCCCACCTGGAGGCTGGCATCCCTAGGCAGCACCCTCTGGGTGGCTTGATACCACCTGATTTGCATGACTCAAGTAGGCCCAGCTGCTTGCTACGGTTCATCAGCAGCCACCCTATGAAAGCCAGTGTGATGTAACCGTTAGAGCTTCAGAGTAGGGTCTGCGAGACACAGGTTCTTGTGGTGGAAGCTGACTGTGTGATTTTGGACCAGTCACATAATTTCAGCCTAGCCAACCTCACAGGGTTGTTGTGCAGATAAAAAGGAGGAGAGAATAATGTAAGCTGCTTTGGTCCCCAGTGGAGAAAGACGGTAATTTTCCTAGGTAGAGGCTGTGGGGGAGGGGTGTGGAGATGGAAAGTTGAAGACAGAGAGGCAGATAAAGGTAGGTTGGCTGTTGGGTGGGAAGGAAATTGTGTTGCCAACTCCAGGTTGGCAAATTCCTGGACATTTGAGGGGTGGAGCCTAGGGAGGGTGGGATTTGGGGAGGGGAGAAACTACAGACCAGTATAATGCCATAGACTCCACCCTCCAAACCATACATGGAGAAGAAAGAGAGAGAAAGGGGGGGGCAGAAGGGAGAAAGAGTATGAGAGAGGTAGGGGGAGACAGGAGGAAGCAAAGGCGTGAGGAATAGGATAATCATCCCGCAAGTTTCTTGCGGGTCTCCACTTGTCATTATATATTACCACCTGCTACCGTTTCCCCACGCATCTTTGTTTTTAGTCTATGAGGTTTCTATGGAGTCTGTTCACACAGTTCCAAAGAAACAGGTAATTCCTACCCGTTAAACTGTCTGCCTGTCTTCCTGCCGGCTGCCGTAAGCCACTGGGGAGCCAAGAACCCTTCCGAACACACACACGTCCCCCCCCCCGCCTGAGGGCCGCTGGGGCAGCAGGCAGCTCCCTCCCTCCCTCCCTCCCTCCCAGCAGAGAGTGAACTGCAGGACATGCAGCCTCTCCTCCTCCTCCTCCCACGTGGAAAGCGGGCCAGGCCCCCGGGGGGCACCGCGACACGCAAGGCTTCTTTCATTCTAACCGACGGAGTTCAGCAGTGAGAAGGCAGACCAGTGACCAACCGACGCCCAAGAGCCAGTTGAAGCATCAGCTGGGGAGGAGGGAGTGTCGGTGGGTGGAGTCTGGGCCTCCTCCTCCTCCTCCGATCGGGCAGACGATGGAAGGACTCTGGCTTGTGTGGGCTGCCCTCTGGCTCAGCCTCACGCCACAGAACTGCTCCTGTTACCTCAGTGGGAGTCCAGAGGCAGGCAGGCGGGCAGGCAGGGGAGCCTGACTGGACAGGAATGGCAGGCCCACCTTGGGCAACTGCTTGGGGGGGGGCGGGGGGGGGGGGGGGCACTGCAGTCACAGAGGCCTTCCTGAGCAGGGGGACTTGGGAAACGGGACTTCGCACATGATAAGTGCAAACAATACCTTCTCTTCACAAGCCATTCCAGCCATTCCTCGTCGGTGGCCCAGCCGCGGCTGGAAGACTGCCAGTGTGGGGGGGTGGGGGTGGGGGCTCACCAGCTCCCTAGGCAGTCGATTCCACTGCTGCACAACCATGACTGTGAAAGAGGACTGGGGGGGGGGGGGGGGTGGCCCGGGGGGCAACCCCCGACCCCCAGGCTCAGCCGTGGAGAGCGAGGGAGAAAAGCAGATGAGGACTGGGCGGGCAGGCGGGGACGACCCATCCATCCAGGAAGGCCCACCTTGGGTTTGGCCCGCGGCTTCAACTGCTCCAGCTTCTTGGCGGCGGCCTCAATGGCAGCCGCGGCCCCCAGCAGTTCGTTCTCCGCGATGACCGTGGGATCCTCCGGGTCAACCCACTCGGTCCCTAAAGGAGAAGAGGCAGCGATGAGGATGCTGAGCGCTGCGTCGTGACAGCAACTCCTCCCCCAAGGAACCTCCCCAACACCTTTCCTCTCAGAGAGGCAGTTCTGCGAGGCCGCTGCCCTGGTCCGGCGCTGGATGCCTCTTTCCCGCCTGACGCGTGGCCCTCTCCCCACCCGCCCGCACACCCGCCCTGACGGCCCCGACCTCTCTACCTTTCATGGCTTCCGCGGCCTGAATAAGCTCCGTCACAGAGCCGGCCACCCGCTTGGAGTACCCAGCCAGCTGCTGCTTCAGGTCATGGCTTGGCTTCTGGAGGACCTGGGGCAGAAGAGATGGCAGGCGGGTTCAGCCAGGCGGCTCTGGCCTGTGGCCCTGGAGTGGCCCACAAGCGTCCACACGGAGCGCACAGAGCCCCTCTGAACATGGGGAGCGGGGGGGGGGAGGGGGGAGGAGTGTGGGGACACACAGCCACTCGCACCACCTTCAAGACACCCGGGACCCCCTGAGAAGGGCTGCCAGGCAACCATGGCTCCACAGCACGCCAGAGGCTGGAGACCTTGGAGAAGGGCAGTTCTGGTAATTCTCTGTTTTCATATGAAGCTTTGCAAGGAACATAACTAGAGAGGGTTACAACTAAAGAACTCTACACTCGGCTTTCTCTCAGTCTGTCTATATTTCTTACGGATCCTTCTCTCTCCCTTTTCTTCTCTCTCGCTGTCCTTCCAACCATCATTCCCAAACGGTCTCTCCTTTCCCCCTATTTCGAGCTCTACCCTTGCCACTCCCGTTCAATGCTCCCTCTAAGTCTTGTGAGCAAAAATTCTACTTTGTGAGCCACTGGCATTAAAGCTGTGAGCGAGCCATTTGGCTGCTGCATGGATCAGTTTGCTAGTCTGGAGCCCTCCCTCCTGAGCTGAGACGAAAAAGGTGTGAGGCTAAAGAACGATGAGCTAGCTCACATTAACTCAGCTTAGAGGGAACCCTGCTCCCGTTCACTGCGCGTGTGAACTGTGGTCGTCGCTTCAGACTTATGGTGACCCTATGACTTAATGTCCTCTCAAGCGTCCTCTCGTTAACAGCCTTTGTGGCTTCCTCGACTTGAGTCCCTCCGTCTCCTGCGGGGCCTTCCGCCTCTCCTGGCGTTCTTGTCTTTTCCAGGGACTCTTCTTGTCCTCTCATGACGTGACCAAAGTATGATGGCCTCCGCTGGGTCCTTTCAGCTTCTACGGAGAGCTCAGGCTTGATCTAGAGACCACTGATTTGTCTTTTGGGCAGTCCACTGAATCCACAAAACCACCTTCCAGCACCACACTTTAAAGGAACCAACTTTCTTCCTCTCAGCTTTCACACTCATACTTAGTCATGGGGAATAGTATAGGATGAATTATTTTGATCTTGGCCTTCAGTGACACTCAAGGACCTTTTCTAGCTCCTTCATGGCAGGCCTTCTCAGTCTCAATCGCCTCCTGATTTTCTTGAAGTCTTCCTTTGATTGGATGGGCATTCAGTTGCTGACTTAAAAGTAGCAGTTCTCTTACAAATGAATTGCAAAGGGAGATTAGAGAGACTGCTGAACTGCAACTGATAAGGAAGCTCAAGACAATGCATCCACCTGGACTGAATGGAGACCTAGGTTTCCTGTCTCATTACCAATGCTGATTTCTCCATGCCTATTACCCCTCTGCACATCTCACCTAAATCCAATCATGCCTGCTATTGTCATTTGCCTGCTAGTGTCATTCGGCATTTGATATCACTCAACTTTCCAGTAAATAGGACAGACGGACTCCCATTCTAGCTGTATTTGAAGAAGTGAGCAGTGACTCACAAAAGCTCGTACCCTGCCACATAGTTTGTTAGTCTTTAAGGAGCTACTGGACTCTTGCTCTTTCCCACTGCTACAGACAGACTAACACGGCTACCCATCTCAATTTATCTTTTGGGCTACAGGAATAGTCTTTGTGCATTGTTCCTTGATAATATCTCACGTTCTTCACGTTCACTTGAACTTAGTAATGCAGATCTGTTCTTTACATGGCCAACTCTTCAGGAATGTGGTTTAGATTGCATTGTGGCACTATGAATGTTTTGGTATTTTTCTTCAGCTTTATTCTAATTTTCAATATTAACAATTCATAGTCTGTACCACAGTCGGTTCCTGGTCTTGTTTTAGCAGAGAGAATCCCACTTCCCCATCTTCTGCTTCCAATTATGTAACCCATTTGATTTCTGTATTGGCCATCTGGCGATGTCTGCGTATAAATCATCTGTTCGGTTGCCTGAAATGAGTGTTTGCAATGAACAGAATTCTATGAGTGGCTCTCCTGCTGCATGTCACGCACCAAGCCCACATTTTCTGACAATCTTTGATTCTGCTTTATTTCCCCGCTCTGAGTTTCAGTCACCACCTCTGTGATTACCAGCACACCTTGTCTAGGTGTGTGATCACTAGCGCGTACACCACCAGGATCACGAAAATGCCGAGTGTTCTCTTGCCTCCCTGGTGGGCTGAAGGGCACCATCCCTGGGCGGGTTTCTGCATCCCACTTGCTTTGCAGGCAGAGCTCTACACAGAGCCTTGCGGAATCTTCCCGTTCCTGACTAGTGGTGATTCTCTTGTTTGTGGCCTGTGCAAGCGCAGACCAGGAGAAACTCACGCTGAACTATTTTAAGTAGGGTGATACAAAGTTGTTCAGGGTGGTGAAAACCAGTGAGGATTGTGAGGCACTCCAAAGGGATCTGTCAAGGATAGGCAAGTGGGCGTCAACATGGCAAATGGGGTTCAATGTGGCCAAGTGCAAGGTGATGCACATTGGAGCCAAAAATCCCAAATATAAATACACATTGATGGGGTCTGAACTGGCAGAGACTGATCAAGAGAGAGATCTTGGAGTTGTAGTAGATAACTCACTGAAAATGTCAAGACAGTGTGTGACTGCAATAAAGAAGGCCAATGCTATGCTGGGGATTATTAGGAAGGGTATTGAAAACAGATCAGCTAATATCATAATGCCCCTATATAAATCAATGGTGAGACCTCATTTGGAATACTGTGTGCAGTTCTGGTCACCACACCTTAAAAAGGATATTATAGCTTTGGAAAAAGTGCAGAAAAGGGCAACTCGAATGATCAAAGGGTTGGAACACTTTCCCTATGAGGAAAGGTTAAAGCACTTAGGGCTCTTTAGCTTGGAGAAACGACGACTGAGGGGTGACATGATCGAGGTTTATAAGATTATGCATGGGAAAGAGCAGGTAGAGAAAGAGGTACTTTTCTCCCTTTCTCACAATACAAGAACTTGTGGGCACTCCATGAAACTGCTGAGCGGTCGGGTTAGAACAGATAAAAGGAAGTACTTCTTCACCCAAAGAGTGATTAACACATGGAATTCACTGCCACAGGAAGTGGTGGCGGCTACAAGCATGGACGGCTTCAAAAGGGAATTAGGTAAGCATATGGAGCAGAGGTCCATCAGTGGCTATTAGCCACAAGGTATAGATAGGAGCTTTGGGGCAAGTGATGCTCTGTCTTCTTGGTGCTTGGGGGGGGGATCAACAGTGGGAGGGCTTCTAATGTCCTGGCCCCACTGCTGGACCTCCTGGTGGCCCCTGGTATTTCTGGCCACTGTGTGACACAGAGTGTTGGACTGGATGGGCCTTTGGTCTGATCCAACATTGGCGTCTCTTATGTTCTTATGTTAGAGTCAAATTTGGTCAGCGGAAGGACAAAGAGAAAGGAGTTAGTGTGACCAGGGTACTTTGGGGTCAACCAGGATCCCTTCTCCAGCTCACCAGAGAGGAGGAGCCCCCCAATTAAGCCCGACCTGTCAACCTTAGCTGGTGCAGGAGGGACGCTGAAGCCCTCCATCCCCTGGGTAGGCAAGTGGTTGGTCCGAGACGCTACTGCCCAGACCACCCACGATGGGGGGCCCGCCCCTCTGCCTCCTGCCACTGAGATCCGTACCTCTTGCCCTCACAGTCCTGCCAGGCATTACTCTCCCACCCCCCTCCCGGAGCACGACCCGGATCTCCCACTGAGCGATTGTTATTTTAATGGCCAGGAATGGTTAAATTTAGCCTTTTAATCTTCCTAGAGTAATGAACCAACTAGCGGTATCAAAATGCACCCACAAAATCATCTCACCATCATTATAAGGGACCAATCATATTACCTAGAGGATAAGCACATGTTAAAGTTAGAGAGACTTATCATTGTTTTTAACTTTCATTATTCCTATAAAAAGTGTCACACACACACACACACACACGGGGCAAGTCAGGGTTCTGTGGAGGTGACTGTCAAAAGGCTCCAGGTGAGATTTTAAGAGTGTGTTTTGGGCTTCCAAACTTGCTAGAGCATTCTAAGACAGTTTACTGAAACCTGATTCGCTCCGAAACTCATGTATTCAGTTATGCTTGAGAAATGTTAAGAGGATTTGATTTTCTTTGCATGCGGTTTTTCAGTACTTATAGGGTTAATTAGCATTAGTGTGTTTCTATTAATCTCTTACCTAATAAAAAGAGTCTGTTCCCTTTTCAATAAAAAGTAGTTAATTCACTGAAAGGTTCCGTTTGGCTTGCTGGAAAAGGTTGAAATGCTCAGAACCCTCAATTTACTGCTCTACAGAGATACATTCTCTATCAGCGGCTTTTTAGCTGTCCAAGTACCCCCGGACGATTAAGCTCCAAAGAGCAGCAGTATTGCCCTACCGGGCCAGACCGACGGTCCATCTAGTCCAGCATCTCCTGCCTCTCACACAGTAGCACAAAAGAACAATTCTCACAAAAGTTAATGGGTGCCGGACATGAGGCCATCGCCTCATTACGCCTGTGCCCAGAGGCCCCGCATCCTCAGAGGAGCAGCCTTCTGCCGCCGGAGGCAGGGCTCTCCCACCCCTGGCACTCTGTGGGGTCTGTTAGCTGCTGGCAAATGAACCCAGAGAGGCTCTTCCATGCCAACCATGCGCTCTACCACCAAGCAGCAGTTCCATTGGCTCCCTCCTGCCACACACGCGAGCACACACAGGCACACTTTTGGCCTCCTGCTGGGGCCAGGGGAGCTGCTTGCCCGGGAAAGCCAATGCCAAGCAGAGAGTTAAATCCAGCCTCCCTGCAGGTGAGAAGGTTGCCGCCCCCCCCCCCCGGGTGGCAGCTGGGCCCCTGCTCTGGCTGGTGTTGGCAACAGCTTCTCACTTGCTGGCACGGCACGGCACCAGGGTTAAGGTGCACCGCACACCCATGCAGCTGCTGGGACCATCCCACCCAGCAAGACTTCAGCTCACCCCCTGAGGCCTGGCGCCCAGCAGTGTCACGTGGCACACACACGAACACACTCCCCCATGCAAGCACACCATACTCACCGGCTGCCCAGAGGAGGGGAGAAAAGGGAGAGGTGAGAAGGGGCCAGCGAAGGGCTCGTGCTCGGACCCTGAGACCCGGGGGCCCCACACCCAGGGCACTCACCACCAGCACGTGCTCCAGCAGCCCCAGGTAGCCGGTGGCACACTCCTTGCCAAAGTGCAGTGCTCGGTGCCGGACGTCGGGGTTCACCTCAGGGTGGTAGGCGGCTTCCTGCGAAGAACCCACCCCACATGAGAGGCGGCTCTCCAGAAGGAGTCCGGGCAGGCCCCCGGGGCTCAGGGCGGCACGGCTTCGGGCCCCTCCGGCAGAGCTGGTGCCAAAAAGGAGCCCTCCTCCCTGCGGGGCCAGTCCCTCCACTCCTGACAGACTCTGCCTTCAGTGCAGAGAAACTGCTTGCCCCCAACGCAGAAACCGGGACAGCCAGCACCGGGACAACGGTGCCAAATATCTGTAGTATCAAAACGGGGTGGCGAATAAACCGACCCGCTGGCCCACAGGCACCGAGGCCGGGCCGGGCCTGGCCTCCAAGGACTGACTCCTCTGGGAATCCCCAGCCGGAAGCTCTGACTCACCTACTAGCCTGAGGGGTGAGACTCTTTCGGGGCCTTCCGGCTGCAGGGCTCAGGTCCCCCCCCCC